AGCAAGGGAGGAAGACCTGGTTGTGTGGAGGTGGCGCGGGTGGGAGTGGGGCAGGACTGCAGGGTGCCATGCTGCGTCCTTGAAACTTTCAGGACCCCCAGGCCTCAGATATTGAGGAAGGGGTGGGCTCTGAAACACAGCAGCTGTTACCATAAATGTTCTCTGTGGTGTTGTCGCCATGCCCTGGCCCACACCGACAGCTCCAGACTATCCGGTCTGAAGACGTCCTATCAGAACAAACCCTGTTCCCACAGAGAAGCCATACAAAGTGTGGAAGTGGGCCCCTGGCGGCCATCCTTCAGAATCCGTCTGCCCTGGGGGATGCTCCAGAGAGTGGAGAGGAGAGCTGCACAGGCAGACTGGCTGAGGTGAGCCGAGCCCATCTGGTGATTTCTTGTGACTGACAAAGTGGATCACTACAGGATCTCCAGTCTCTTCCCTTCTGCCCTCCTGTCCTCTCTCCTTTCCAACCACATCCAGCTTTATAGAGGTGTAATTACCAAAGAAAAGTGTACGTATTTAAGGCATATACAATGTGATGGTTTAGTTCATGTCTACATTGTGGAATGATTGTGATTACCAAGAGAGTAGACCAGTCTATCACCTTAACTTAGTTACTGTGTGTGTGTGTGTGTGTGTGTGTGTGTGTGTGTAGTGAGAACATTTAAGATCTACCCTTAGCAAACTGAATGCACACTGCAGTGTTAACTTGAATCACCATGCTGCACATTGGATCCCATGGGTTTTTTTCTCCATTCTCCCCTTTTGAGTCTGCAGTGCGATGTGAAAAGCTGCGCAGCCCAACTCCATCCTCTTCAGGGGTAACATGTTAAGAGGCTTGAGGGTCTCAAACACAAGCAGAATGAAACCAGTGGTCCTCTTAGATTTTTGTTCTCCTATGGCCCAGATTAAATTTGAATTTTGTTGGAAACTCTCCTTCAGAAATTACATTGGATAACAGTAGCAATACATAAACTCATGGCCCTGCTGATGCACCTGCACCTGCAGTCTTTGTCTATTAGCCGGGGTGAGTTGGATCAACCTAGCTTGTTCTTCTGGGCACACGTGCTACTGAGAATATTCTGAGGGAACCCTGGTAGGATGGAATTTTGAACATGAAGCAATGTCTCATGAGTAACAATTACCTTTGTATTATTATAAGATTGTTAGCAAGGACCACATACGTAAATATACTCATATATAATAGTAATGATATACACACACCATATGTATGTAAAACATGGAAGGCATTTTATGGGTTCTTCAAAGCAAAGCCACAGACATTGTCTTAGTTGCTTCCCACGAGAGCACGGTGATGGCCATTGGTGGAATTTGTCAGATGGTCCAGGAAACAAAGTGACAGGCAGGAACCCAGGGGCAGGACTTCCACTCCTGTGCTGTATCTCCATCCAGTTCAGCTACAACTCCAACCTCACCAAGAGACTGTCCATTGGTTCATTCATCCATTCATTTTGTAAGCATTTATCGAATAATGGTCCTCTGTTTTGAATGTGGAGCAGCGAGAAACAAAATCAAAAAGAAAATCGCTCCTTTCCCCTCCACAGCATCGTGCCCTTTCTCAGGCCAGTGCAGAGGCAAAGACCCATGTGTCTGGGTCCCAGCTGGGCCATCTTCCAGCAACACTGCTTGTGGCAATATTTGCAAATCATCTGGTCACAGTTTCCTCATCTGTAAGATGGAGATAATTATAGTACCTGCTGAGAGACATTTTATGAGGATCAAATGAACTTCTAAGGACCTGAATGATGGTTGGTACCCAGGAAACCTTCCACAGGTGTTAGCTGTAGAATCTAAGCTATCATTTAGGAAGGTAGAATTATACATTTCTTCTTAGAGACTTTCCTATGCAACTAAAAGTGGGATACCAAAGTTTCTGACTTAGTTCAGTGTATCCTGAATAAGAGTTTATGTATCTGGTGAGTCAGACTGTATGTCCTGATTTGCCCAATGCAATTTTACTTCATATCTGGTGTCCCTAAAGATGTATTAGTGATAAATGGCAGTAGGAGTGTTCCGTGTCCGTATGGCTCAGAGTGTACCCTCCACACCCAAGGGTGCCCTCCCTGGGACTGGAGCCGCTGTACAAAACAAGCTGCATTGTCATAATGGCTGGGCTCTGGGCAATGCTACAGCACATGGAAGGAAAGAGAAACTTGTGAGTCATTGTCTATGCAGTGTTCGTCTCTGGGTTCCTGCTTTGTTTAATTAAACTGAGTCTACTGGGCATTGGTTTCCAAGTGCTCCTTAGAGGATGTGTAGGATCAGAAGCATCTGAATGTGCTGGAGCCCGGGACACCATTTCCCATATTACAGGACCTGGGTTCAATGTACAGCCCCAGCTCACAATTTCAGCTTTCTTCTTCTCTGTTTTGAAAGATGTACTGATTTAATTTGAAAGCCAGAGTTACAAAGCAAGAGAGAGAAAGAGAGAGAGAGAGAGAGAGAGAGAGAGAGAGAGAGATCCTCCATTTGCTAATTCACTCCCCCAAATGGTGCAATGGTCAGAGCTGTGTTGATTTGAAGTTGAGAGCCAGAAGCTTCTCCTGGTTTTCCCAAGTGGGTGCAGCGTCCCAAGACTTTGGGCCATATCCCAGTGCTTTCCCATGCCTCAAGCAGGGATTTGGATCTGAAATGGAGCACCTGGGACTCCTACTGCCTGCTACCACAGGGATGCTGGTACCGTGGGCAGAGGATTAGTGTGCTATGCTACCACACCAGTCCCATTCAGTTTCTTCTAATGTGCACCCTGGAAGGCAGCAGATGATGGCTTAAGCATGTGTGTCCCTGCCACCCCTTTGGGAGATCTGGATGCAATTCCTGTCTCTTGGTTTTGGCCTTGCATAGTCCTAGGTGTTTCAGAATTTGGAAAGTGAACCAGAGACAGAAAGATAATGCTCTCTCTGTCTGCCTCTTATATAAATGAACTCAATAAAAAAAAAAGTAAATACAAACACGAATGCATGCAGATCTTCCCCAGGAAGTTGGATTTTCAGCAGCCCCTGGGGTGATCTCCTGCTTCAAAGAACTCACCATCCCCTGTCAAAGTGAATGTGACCGCCAGAGAATGGTGCCAAATGGAACTGGGTAGGCTTACCTCAGCTTTTTCAATGAATGCCTTTGCCTTCTGACCCACCCCCACCACAACGTTCTCAGCAGAGCTACCAATGTATCTTTCATCCCCAAAGACATCATTAGCAACATATGCCACTGCAGGTGCTGAGTGGCCATGCCTGAGATGAGACTTCACCTTCTCACCTGGACACCACATGGGATCCCAACTTGCTCACCATATGAACCCTGGTATCTATTCCCCTTAAAGGATAGTGTCTCAATGCCTCATGCTATTTGTTGCAGAGGATGCAACCAGCATTGAGAGACAGAGAGAGAGAAGAGAGAAAGAGAGAGAGCGAGAGAGAAGAGTTAAGATTGCCTATGTGTGGTCAGGAAAAGCAGTATTCAGTAAGACTCATGTGTCAGTGGGTACACTGCACCTTGGGTCCCTGTACACTTGCTAGCATGCATCATGTTGCCCCTCGTCTCTGATGTGCAGCATAAATCAATGCTGATCCTATGTTATTTATGGCTCCTCTCATCTCTACTTGCCGAGGACTGATGGAAAAAGCCACCAGGGAAGTAGACTATCAGATGTAAGTCCAGCAGGAGGCTACCTGCAAGCCAATAGAAAACTACTTTGCTGACAACTGCAGAACCCATGGAGAAAAATCCATCACTGGTCGTGTTGTGGAGGCCAACCCAACCCAGTCTAGCACACAAGCACATCTTCTGGGTGTGCCTGGAGCCAAGCCCGTTTTCCTTCCTGTGAAACGGGGAGGCTCTCCCCCTTGACTAATGCTGGAATGTGCAAGTCCAAAGGAGAGAGAGCACAGTCCGTGCAATTAAGGCTGAAGCACACAGTGCAGGCCCAGGGACGGCCTGCACTGCTGGTTTGGTAGCGGTGTGTTCCTTGGCACTAGGGGAGAAAGACAAAGGCAGCAGTGTGGGAGTCAGAAAGACACTGCTTGCGGGGCACAGGCCTTTTTCGGCTGCCCCTGGCAAGCGGCTGATCTCCTGGACCCTGGGAAAGAAGATGTGGGGGCTGCTCTCCCGGCATGCTGGTGTGCCTGGGTGACCTTGAAGCAGATGCAGCCAGTGGGGTGAGGGGAGCATCTTACAGAGGGAAAGGAAGGCGGAAGAAGAGGGGGACTCAGATGGCGGAAAGGGAGAAAGGCTCCAAGACATTAACAGAATGAGACTCTAGGGAGTGCTGGCCCCTCCCCTGCTGGCCCCTTTTGCCACTTGGCACTTGATGGCTCTCATAGCATTAAAGAAGGAGAGAAAGTTGCTAAAGTCAAGCTGGAACTACAAAGAACACATAAAACCCTGCTCACTCTTGCACAGGGACCTGTTGAATGCTGTCAGTGGGCTCCTGCGGCTGCCCCTGTCACTTCCTTTAACGCTGCCATGCCAGGCTTTGCCAGACTGTGAAGGACTGGCTGGAAGAGCAGGGCTTCACCCTCAGCCTGGGGCATCCACCCTATGCCCTCAGGGCATCCACCCCATGCCCACGCTAGTGCTGCAGGCTTCCCTGGGCCCAGGCTTCTGGAGGGGCTTCAGGGTTGTCAGGGCTCACCCACAAGCTTGGGACAGGTGTTCTAATGCTAAGCTCCAGCAGATAATAGCTAGTCAAGTTCTTAGACACAGCATGAGTGCACCTTTTCTGGACTCAGTAGAATACAAAACAAGGGGAAAAATTACATGTATGGAAACATTCAGATGTCTGACAAGCCCAAATGCATGTACAGTAGACTGTGATGGCCTGGCCAGGAATGCACTGCGTGAATGTAGCTCCGATTGGCAGGCCTGGTTTCCTGCCCCCCTGGCCCAGTGCACAGCCAGGTCTCCCCCATCCAGCCTTAACTTCCTTCAAAGGCCTCTGCTGTTTTCTATGCTGGATTCCTCTCACTGTGAGCCACACCTGAAGGTAGAACGAAGACATTTATTTGTAAAACCAGCTCCCTGTGGAGGAGAGCTTGCATCCGTGGGAAGGAACCGAGCCCCAGCGCGCTTCCAGAGGACCACATGCAGACAGAGTGAGAGCAAGTGAAGACCTGCAGGCAATGCCACCGGCTGCCCTCTCCCTTCCCACCCCTCTCTCCCCTGCGGTGGCCCACAGCAAAGCAAAATGTCCTTTCTGCTTGAGAACGCTGACGCCCCCAGATGTCCCGTGAGAAGGCAATTTAGTCTGACATCCACGACGAAGCGCTCAGGGAACAATCGAGAGAGCCATTTTCCTATTCCGGGTGGCTCGTTTGCTTCCCACAGATGCCCGGCTGCACGCTTCTGTGGTCCTCCAACCGCCTACCAGCCCATGAGAGGGAAGCTGAGACAAATCACGGGTCTCCTCACATGCCCATCCTTATGCTCTGGATGATCTGAAAGATAGCTGCAAGAGGAAAACAAAAGACACAGCTCAGACACCAGACAGCACGCAGCTGGAAACCCAGCCCCTAGCCAGCCCCTAGCCAGCCCCCACAAGCCCTTGTGGGGCTGGCTCATAGCTGATTAGATATTTCCTAACAAGGAGTTCAGTTAACAAGGGGTCACTGAACTTCTTTAAAGAGGCAGCCAAGCTGTGTCTGCAGATGGATGCCTTAGGGATTTATAGATAAAACTCCTGCTAATTCCATGGGGAGTCGTGGCCAGAAATCCCTGGGGCACTGAGCGCAGCCCTGGCCCCTGTCCCCAGCAACACGGGTGGGTGCTGCTGCTGCTGCGGCGAGGGGATCTGGGCTTTGGTGCAGAAACAACACTCATTAAACAGGTCAGTGAATCTGCCTTTTCAGAATGCCCATGACCTGTAAAAATAATCAGGCCAGGTGCTCCCAGCAGTGGTTCCAAGGCAGGCTCTGGCTGCCCAGAGCCCCACACACAGGTGCAGCTTCCAATCCTGGAACTCTCCCCTGAGTGACAATGATGTACTCAGAGTTCTGGCTTGACCAGCTGGGCTGATGTGAGCAGCCTGATGCCCACAGACAAGTCCTGGCACCCTCACCCTATTCCCAGATTTTCTGGTGAGAACCCATTAGAAAGCTCCCAGCCTGGTTCTACCCATGGGGACTACAAATGTGTCCCAGCAGAGGACGAGCTTGCCTTCTCCTCCTCCTTTATTTTGTTTTATCTTCCCCAGCAAGCCAAGTTGGCACTGATGAAGACCATGGTAATGCTAAGAGGTACTGAAGAGTATTTGCTTTTTCAATTTTTATTATCATCGGATTTAATCACATATAAAAACAGAATAAACACTGAGCTTGTAGGGATCCAAGCACCTCTCTCCTTCACAGAGCCATCCTGGAACATCTTCAGGAACACAGCTTCTCAAGTGCCTACACACAGGACCTGCAGAAGTCTCAAGCAACAAGTTGGCTGAGGTTTCAGCATCCAGTACCATTGAACTTAACGCACGATACAGGCAGAGCACCCCTTATCCAAGATGTTTTGCACCAAGAGGTGTTGTGGAGTTCATATTTTCTTCAGGTCCCTGAACATCTGATTATGCTTACAAGAATCAGATATACGGAGGCTAAGATATAACTCTAAAACAGGAAACTCACTTGCATTTAATCTAAACCTTCTACATGTTACTTAAAGGTAACTGTCCATTATTGCAAATAAATCTGTGTATGCAGCAGTTTCTGTTATAGGCATCTCCAATTCTGGCATATCTTTCTTTCCCAAGGTTCAGATGTTGGAGCTTTTATGTTTTCTGAAAGAGGAATGCTCAATCTGTACGCTGTGTCGGGTATTGTACTTTGGGGATAACAAAGAGAATTCACACACTGGTTCCTTGGGGGAATCTTTCTTAGATAGCTGGAGCTTAAGGACAAAGGACTAACACATCTTCTTCTTCTTTTTTTCTAAAAAATATGCTTCTTATTTTCTAAATTTAAGAAGCTGTTGTCACTACCTTCTTAACCTGGAGATTTTAAGCATGATATACATGTTAACTTTTCATGAACAATCAGGGTCACTTTCATGAGAACAATCACCAGTCAGACTCTGCTGTAACAGTCTTAAGGAGGATACACAGTGTCTGGCACCCACTGAGTTCTGCTTGGCTGTCCACTGGAGCTCTCCTGTCTGCTTATCTTTTTTTTTTTTTCTTATCGCTTTCTCTCATCTTTGCTACTCTCATGTCAATCTATCCTGGGCTCTTCCTGGCCTTTGTTGCTGTACACTGAAAGCCAAGCCTGCTAAAATTGTGCATAACATCTGGGCCAACCCAAGCCATGGGAATGTGAAGGGCTCTTTGGGTGACACAGAGAGGAGTTGTTCCTTTCACAACTTGTGACATTTTCTTTTGGTTGCACTCAAGAGATGCCTTTGGCTTATTTCCGGTTCTTGGGGGTCCTTGAGAAGGAAACCAATGAATAAGCTCAAAGAAATAACTGATGTTTCTATCCTCCTTTTACCAAGGCACTCAAGAAATAAGAATGAACACAGATTCTGGGTTCTGGTTTGGTAGGAATGCCATGAGGCAGCTGTATATCCAATATCATTAGGAAAAACAATATTTACACCTACCATGCCTCAGACTGTGCACTTGGGATCAGAGGGCTGAATATTAGGATGACACGGGATTGGGTTAATCACAGCTGCTGATCAAATTTAACTCCTTTGAGGCATTTCAAAGAAGATTTCACTTTCTGTGACAGGGGATCAGAGTACTTGATGTCATAGGCATTAAATGACAGGATATCTGAAGGCTCCTCATGTACTGAGGATGCAATGAATGGTAGCAGGTGTTGCCATCATTTTTTAAACATGGAATATTCCTTGTCCAAAATGCTTGGAATCAGAAATATTTCAGATTTCAGATTTTTCCCCCAATTTGGGATATCTGTATATACATAAAGAGACATCTTGGGCCTGGGGCCCACGTCCAAACACAAAATTGTTTTCAAACATACCTCATACACATGGCCTGAAAATACAAAATTTCTAGTGCACTTGCATTTTGACTGTGACCTGTCATACGAGGCCAGATGTGGGACTTAAACTTGTGCTGGCAAACAGAATGTTCCAGATTTTGGAGCCTTCTGGGCTTCAAGGATAGAGCTGAGAAGTTGTCAACCTGCTTCTGTCACTGTCACAATGCCTACTGCTTTTTAATGTATGAACATAGACTAGTGTTCAATAGCATCCAGCCTTCATGATGTGAACTTTGGGATGTTACCACACAATTCTGAGCTCACTTTTCTGTACTGATAAAACTGTATATGGTCAATACCTATGAGGATAATGACATACAGAAGAGAATTGTCCTTAAAGAACATTCAGGGATGTTAGTTCTGTGTCTTCATCTTATCCTCAGAAAAGAAATCATTGGTGGATATGGGTCAACAAATAGGAATCAGCCTACGTCTTGGCTCATCATACCCTCTATGTCCGTGAATGCTTCAATAGTTCTAGAATGATAAAGACACTCAATTATTTTTTAGAGAACTGCAAATTTCTAAAAAAAAATGCTCAAAAAATTTGCATGTCTCAGAGTAGTGCCACTTACAGTGAAACAATTTACCCAGTTCTTTGAGTCTGTGTTAGAAAATAAAGGTTATTGTTGATCGTCACAGAATCCATGCACTAATATGTAAAACCCCAATAATTCTTACATGTTTATATGTGATCCTGACCCCTCTTGGAGAAATGTCTTTGAATGAAATCTCTTTTTAAGTTCACCACTTACTTCTACCTCTAAGATCACAAGAGATATGGTTGTGTTTATGACTTCTTTTTCAGCTATAGCAATGTCTTCAAGAAGTTTTCCATGCCTTATATTAATTGTAACTCTGTGTGCCTGCCCATATTGACTGGCAGAGAAACCCCAGCCTTCCTAAAGCTGACTTTCAGAGCCAGCAAACAGGAAGGGAGCTAACAATGGAGTTCAAAGAGGGAGAAGAAGCAGGGAGTCTAGACCCTGACAAGTTCATAACTTAACAGTGGGTGAACAAAGCTGAGAAAATAGCCAATCTGGCTGCAGGAGCTAGGCGTAGGGTAGGTGAGACAGCAGGGAGGAGAGAAGCCAAGAAAGGGAGGATGGCAGGCATTCCAAGTGGAGGATCTGACCCCAGGCATGCTCAATGGTGCAGAGAACTCTCAGCAAGAGCAGGAACCATAGGATCAAGAGCCTCGGCACTCTTCCACCTGTGTTTAAGAACCTGGCCTGGCTCACTTTATCTGATCACAGCTCTCTGCTCTTCCAACTCCAGCTTTCCACGAAGTCCTTAGGCTGTATCAGTCACTCCCATCCCAGAAACAACACTTGGGCCATGTCGATCAGTGAGCTTTCTTCACTTTCACACCCACTTTTGAAGAGCTGTCTAAATGTACTTTCTCTGTTTCCTTGCCTTTCATGCCCTGCTCAAACTACCCACTCTGCTTCTGCTCTTTCCCGTGCCACTGAAACACCTTTGCTAAAGCCACAAGTAATCTCCATGCAAATCACTCCATGCTCACTCTTCTACCTCCTCTTGTCTTGCTCCCAGCAAGAAACTCTCCTTTCCTTTAGCCTCCGAAACACCAGTCTCCTAGTTCCAAAGATTCCTCCTACTCTCTGGCTCTTGCCTCTAAGCTTGTTTTAAGGGATCATCCTCCTCCACCCAATCACTAAACAAGAGCATCGCAGTTCCTCCATGAGCATCACTGGCTTCCTTCCCCCTAATCCATGTCTTTCTGCTGAGTGGGCCAGTCCTGGGCTGCAGTTTCTATCGTCGCTCAGTTGTTGAGGACTCAAACATGTGTGCCCCCAGCCTGACTTCTTGGAGCTCTGGATGCACCCCCAATGTCATTGACTTGACATCCACATACTCCTAAGTGTCTCAAAGCATCTCAGACATAACAGGAACTCTTCACAATTTCTTCCCACTACCTAAACTGGCATCAGTGTCTGCTTTCTGCCATCCCTGGCACTTCCAGTTGCTGACCCAAACTTGCAGATGTTCCTTAAGGGTCTTGGGATTGTGCACCCTTCTCTGCATGCCCCAGAAACCACCTTAGTCCCAGATCCATCACCCCTCCCCAGGCTCCTGTGGGGAGGATCTCTTGCACCTCATCTATGCTTTCTTTTCTTCACTCCTTTTTTCACACTTCAGCTAGACCGATCCTTTAAACAATAGCAAATAGCATGGTGTCACCCCATGTTTAACACCCAAAGCTAGCTTCCTACTTCTTGATCCTTGATGAGGCCTCTGTTCTCTGCATATTCTGCTGTCTGTCTGTCTGTCCAGACTCTCCTTTGCATGACCCTTTCCCTCACATGGAACATCCCCCTCACAATTTCAAAAGCGTCTGGCTCTTACCACAGGATTTTGGCCTCTGTCATGATTTCTGTCTGCAATGCTTCCCTACCCTACCCAATCACCTAAGTTAGTTCTTCCAAAAAGCCTT